GATATGTAAACACAACGCTCTTCCCTCCTCAACCCCTCCTGTATGGAGCTGTGGAGCTGAACACTCCCAAGGACATTCCACCTCTATCGGACTTGCCAAGAGCCTCAGCCTCATGGTTTCATGGCCCTTTGACGTCACAGCCTTCACTTATGTCTCTGTTTTGCCCATTGTTTTGTCTGAATGTTGCCATTTTCCTCTTTTTTGTTTTAGCTTGTTAGAAACAGTGGAGTACTCCCTATTTAACCCAGAAAATGATTATTTTAGTTTATTAGTAATATCAGAAATTGTGGAGTACGCATTATTTAGATCAATATTATACAGCCCAGAAATAGAATCAGAATTAGAATTAGAAAAACTATGAACTTATAATCTAGAAATGCTTAACAGGAACACCACTGCTTAGTTTATATTACATTTAACCCAGAAAATAATTTAGCTCTCTTTCTTCTTTTTCTTTCCTATAGTTTGTTATTTTGTTTGTATTTCCTTTTAATTAGTGTAAAGAACTTGGAATTGCATTGTTGCTGAAAATGTGCTATATAAATAAAATTACCTTGCCTTGTGTATATTTTAAATATCGAAAGTTGGCGTCTATTGCTATGAATGTTATTGCAGTAGCAGAAAGCTGCCACTAGGAGGCAGTGTGCGCTTGTAGTCTCTCCAGAGTCTGCGTAACTGACAACTGTCTTCAGAACAGATTCCAGCAGGATTTGTGAAGCTCACATTAGTTTCGACTTGTTCTATCATGTTTATAGGTTAGTATGAGGTATCACGTTTTTACTTGTGTTTTACTTACCGTTGTCATAGCAACTAAACTAACAGGCGCTGGAGGAACAGAGGGCAATTTTCTGTCTTTCTGTGAGCATGTTGGTGTACAGGAAACAAGTACAAATACATTATAAATTGTTTATGCAGTAGCATATGGGGTAACAAATGGGGGTTATTCTGAGACTTACGTGTGTGACATAGGTATATTGTCTAGAATGGCAACGAAAATAACATGGACACAATGATTATTTTGAAGAAAGATCAGATATGGTGGAAATGTGTAATAAATCAGAAGAGATTCCAGGAGGATTTGTGAAGCTCAGATTTGGTTCTGCCTCATCACTCCTACTTGTTCTATCCTGTTTACAGGAAAATCAGCATCTGTAACACTGACACCAGTCCTGGTGCGTGTAACAATAACATGCATTGTTATTTAACCATGATCTGTCTGTGGTTTTAGCTGCTGCAGCAGTGGAAGTGAAGAAAACCGTGCAGTCTGTGTTGGCCTCACTTCCAAATATTTAATTGACATTAACAGGCGCCTAGTTTGGCTCAGGACTTTTCTCCTCGCAGATGAGGGAGAGTGTTTACAGCAAAACTATAGTCGTCTGGCCCCGGCTGAGGGCCAGTGTTGACTGCCAGTTGTAGTAGAAACGAGGCCAAGTCTTTACTCAATCCAGGCTGGGAAGGTGCAGATGGCTCTGAGTCAACAGGAACTGAGAAATAAATAATAAAATTCACATGTCAAAGAAAAGGAAAAAATATCAAATACAAAACAGTTCACATCTAAATCAATGTGAAAAAAGTAAACAAGGAAGGTGCTGCAAGGTTTTGCCACCACTAGGGGGCACTAACGATTTGCATTCTGCATTTCACACTTTTTAGTTCAGAAGCACGAAACAAAAGCTTGTACATTTCCTCATCCTCCTGGCACATTTTGCTTCAGTGTCGTCTTTCACAACAGATAAATTAATGAAAGAGCCAGCAAAAGCTTACAGCACCTGGTATTCCCAGGCGGTCTCCCATCCAAGTACTGACCAGGCCCGACCCTGCTTAGCTTCCGAGATCAGACGAGATCGGGCGTGTTCAGGGTGGTATGGCCGTAAGCGAAGGACCAACAGCCACACAGACTCTTTATCTGTCACCAAGAAGCGAGAGCCGTGCATTTTGTTTCCAGGTTGTTTTCATTGTCACCAGCATTTTTTCATCACTCCAGCTAACAATACGCTGCTGTCAGTCTCGGCGTCTCTTCCACTAAATTTACAAACCTCATATAGGAATTTCCTCTGTGAAAACAACTGCTGACTAGACGACAATTGTTCACCGAAACATTGGAGAAAACCGTCTTCAAACATTCAAAGTTGGGAATACCAGGTGCTGTAAGCTTTTGTTACCACCAGGGGGCACTAACGACCTGCACTTTGGCACTTTTTAGCTCAGCAGCACGAAACAAAAGCTTGTACATTTCCTCATCCTCCTGGCACATTTTGCTTCAGTGTCGTCTTTCACAACAGATAAATTAATGAAAGAGCCAGCAAAAGCTTACAGCACCTGGTATTCCCAGGCGGTCTCCCATCCAAGTACTGACCAGGCCCGACCCTGCTTAGCTTCCGAGATCAGACGAGATCGGGCGTGTTCAGGGTGGTATGGCCGTAAGCGAAGGACCAACAGCGACACAGACCTTTTATCTGGCACCAAGAAGCGATAGAACTGCTATATTTTTCTTTTGATTATCTCCATCACATAATCTTAGGGTCAAAGCTAAATGGTACATGTGGCAGTTTAAATTTGTAAAATGAAACAGTTTGGGCTAAGCTGCTCCATCTTAAACTACACACGGAACTAAACACTAGACTGGGTGCAGAAATTCTACACAACATGTGAATATTTTTGGAAATTACTTCTGATATATCTTTTTATATTTTTAGACAGCCTAAACCTTTATGGTGTGAGCAAATAATTGCAAAGTGTAGACAAAAATATGAAAAACAATGTAAGGCAACCGCACTAAACTTAACATCTCCGTGCAAGCGCAACATATTTCAGGTAATAGATAGCCGTAAGCTTTTACCCACCAGCAGGGGGCACTAACCACTTTTATTCTGCATTTTCACACTTCCCTTAGCTAATCATGCGCAAAAAAACAACAACAAAAAAACACTCTCCTAAATTGCACATACTTGTGGTACATTTTGCTTCTATGTCATCTTTCATCCACCAACATTTTTAAGATGTTGTAAATCGAGGCATGTCTTCCACCAAGCTAGCAAACCTCATTGTGGCATTTCCTCTGTCAAAAAAAAGGCCATGAGAAAATCTAACTCTTAACTATTTAAATGAATAATTGTTTTAACTCATTTTGCATCAAACTGTTTTAAAGGACTGAAATATGGAAGTTCACTGTTCCTTGTACCTCGGTCACTTTCCGTAACAGCAGGTGTGCGCAGACAAAACATTCCAGATTTATTCCACAATTTATTTGTTCTTGGAAAGTACCGTGTTAGTTATAAATCTACTGTTTTATTTACTCATTATTTAGTACAAATACTCTAGTACTTTTTTCATTACTTTGTCAAACTGCAATTTACATATTTATAATGTTAATGTTTTATTAATGTTGTCTATTTATCTTGTCCAGTTTTCTGAGCAGTGCTAGAAATGTGTTGTGATTCTAGCCAGTTCTTATTTTGAGACCAAAAATAAGTCTGGCAGATTTAGATATGACATTATTTTACATTCAACCAAGAAGATGGAGTCTAAAGACAGTTTTGAACATAAAACTATTGAACTTTTAAATTTACTTTCATTCCAAAAAATAGCATGAAGAAAAATAAATATTCACACCCTTCTCAATAATCAATGGAAAATCCTTTACTGGCATTACAGCAACCAGTCTTATGGTTTCACAGGTGTGGTATAAAAACTCTCTTGTGTTCCTAAGTGTCTGTTCTTCTGACAAAAAAAACAGCTGAGTTCATTGTGTTTTTTTTTGTCAGTTTCATCAGTCTGATAGTCAGGTGACAGATTAATAAAAGGAAGAGAAAGTGTACAAGCAGTCAACATGTTCTCTGTGGTTTTGCAGTGATTACTACAGAAAAATGACTATTGAATAAAAGTCATAACCATGTGAGCTTAGATAAATGAAAGAAAAAACATGAACTTTGTAACCATCTGGCCTTTTAACCAATAATAAAAAATGACAAAATGACCCAAACGTGAGCCAAAAACTGCTGTATTTGTAGCTACATCAGCTTTCCCCAGTTTAAATTGCTGCTCTTTGAATTGCATTTAACACTTTTTTAAAAATGTATTTAATTTTCAAGCAAAGTATGTCATTTTTGACTGGACCGTTTCATTAATTTATTTTTAATGATTCTGTTGAACCATGTTTCTAAAGCGATGTCTGATTTTTATTGGTTAATCTTCATTAATTTTGTATTATTATTATTATTATTATTATTACTTTCATTAATTTTCAGTAACCATTGTTTGTCATTAAAAGAGGGGTAACAACAATTTTGTTCTGATGTGTAAATTTTGATTATTTTTTATTGCACAAGGCTTTGAAACACTTGTCAGGAAAATTTAGTCTCACCTGACCAGGAGACTTTCTTCCACATGTTCACTGTTCCCTACACAGCTTGCAAGCAACTTTAATGGCTTTCTTCTTCCTACTTCTTTATGTAGTGAATGACTAATGATGTCTCGAGATTCTGAGCTGTGAATTTCTGTGTATCTAAAAGTATTTCTGGCATTAAATAGTTCTTAATTCAGCTGGTTGCACAGTTTTTTATTCAGTGGATTTAGAGGGAAAAAGGTGAATGCAAATGCACACCACACCTTTCACATTTTAATTTGTAAAAGGAATATAAATATCATTTATAGGTCAGAGTGGGTAAAATCAAATGTAAATACAAGCATGCATATTCAAACTATAGGTAAGAAATATAAAGACAGAAAAGAAGAATAAGAGAATTTACATCACAAAAATTATACTATATTGTTATTACAAAGACAATACTCCAATTAACAGAAATGTGAAACTACTCATGAGCAGAGACATAAAAAAAAATTACAAAATGTGTATAAAAACAACTGAATAAAAAAACTGCAAATAAAGCAGGGATGTGAACACATCAAACATTTTGGCACCATAATTTTCCCCTCTCCTTCACAGCTACATGTTACTTTATGTTGCTTTAAATTTTGGTGTTATAACAAAGTATTAAAAAGTCTGAGGTGTGAAAACATTTCCAAAGAATTGTCCGTTTATGAAGGTTTTCATAACCAGAAAAAAACAAGTGATGGTTGATTTTTGGCGCCGTCTAGTGGTTAAATCGAAGTTGTTCAGATAGATTGAGAAAAGCCGACCTTGGTCAATTTTACATATTTCTATTTCATTATCAAGATAAAGATTCACATTATTGCTTAATGTGCATTAAATCAGTGAGGAAGACAACAACAAGGAAGCGAACCTCATTTCAGATTAAAGAGGAAGGAGCGGAAAGCCACAGTTAGTCAGCAGGATCACATGAGCTGCGTTCATGTGACCGATTCACGTGTTCACAGCGATAAATACGACCAGACCCACAGTAAAACAACAGGCAGAGACTGGAGGGTCGAACTGGGCCGACCCGCAGAGTAAGGAGACACCAAAAACCCATCAATAAGCGACAGGTAGGTTGTTATTTTCTTACGTAGGAGCTTCTAAGAAAATGGGTCGTTATGGGTTTCTACGAAAATAAGTGGTTGGATAAACCACATTTAACAAAAATACTTGCTAAAACTACACAGCTAACTTAGTTACGCTTCTTGTTTTTTAAAATTAAAGTTAAAGATCGAGTGAAAAGACACGATTAAGACAGGCTATGCTTTCTTTGGATTTATTTTTTGGTCTTGATTTGCACGTTTTTAACAGCAGTTACTTGTTAGCTGTACCCTTCGAGGTAAACATGAAGCAGGTGGTGCAAATTGGTTCAAACATGGGCCCTGATATATACTCGTATAGTAATGTGGATTTAAAAAAACAAGCAAAAAAAGAAAAGTGGTGCAGAAAAACTGCACTCCCTTTCCACACAAAGGCGTACAGCAGGTTATGAAACATGACACTGAAGTCAGTTAGAAGGAAATGGAAAATGAAACCGTTTTTATAAGAAGGCCCAGACAAAATGGCTTATGTCAAATCTAAATGTTACAGAAGGGGATCAAAACACCTGACAGACTTCGGCTAAATAACTCTAAGTTTAAAATAAAAACCTTTAATGTAACGGTAAAAAAATAAATAAATCCATAAGTTGATTGTAAAATGGCTGCTCGCCCTCTGTTCTCAGGTTTTATTGTCAGTGAGTTTCTGATAAGAGCCTGTGGTTTTTTGCCAATCTCTGTCACCTCGTTTGTTCTCACAGAAAGGGAATGTTGTGAAACATTAATTTACTCCACCTATTCATCACCATAAATGCTGATACAGCCCTAAATGGCCCAGTTAAAGGAACCAAATGAACTTTACTGTTAAATCAAACTCATACTGGACTTAGTTTATCCCCTTTAGTACAACATGTCAAGGTCTGTTTTTTTTTATTATTATTATTATTTTTCAGTTTGGCTGTTTAACTGCACTAAAATTCACAAAAATTAAATAAGTTTGACATGGATAAGCGTCTGATGACCTCACATAAGGCTAGGCCTGGACAAAAAAAATCAATATATATTGCAATAGACATGTGACTAATCAATAGAACAACTGATGAAATAATCATTGAACTCTGATCAAGAACCGCACAGCATTCTGGGGGATTTAGGCAGAGGAAAGGCTTTAGCCGGCCAACTTCTCACAGCCAGCTGAGCAAAGTTGGTGGAATCAACTAACTCGCGCATTCTTTGGTTACCTAGCAACTCAATCACTTTTTTGTTACCTAGCAACAACCTTTAGAGTAACTGGCACTGCAGCAGCAGTTTAAGGTTTGCCACTTATATCTCATAACGGCTTAAAAATAAACAACCGGGTGGAGTAAAAACTGGATAAGAGGAAAGGTCACACCACCAGTTCGAGAGCATTTCAAACTAGTGGTGAACTAATCAATTAAAACAGAACTAATCAATAACCATCTATCAACTGCTATGGAATGCTTAGATCATGAAATGTTTTGAAGCCCTACTCTAAGCTAAGATCAGTTAGCTAGGTTTTCCGTTTAGATGGCATATCTAAGTGGAAAAATCCTCTGAGGGCTTCAGAGACCCTGTTTGAGGCTGAGCCATCATCAGTACTGGAAAGATTTTTGTAAAGGTCATCAGTCATTTCTGGGGCCTGATCTGCTGCTGACTCATGAAGTTATGATGTCATCTTAAACCTCTTAATGGAAAAAAAAAAAAAAAGGTCTCAGCCTTCTAACCTGAGAGTTCGCATGCGGCTTGTGACTGAGGGGAGGCTGTTTGTGCATTCTCCAGTGACTTGGCAGCTTTTTGTCAGTCATGCTGCCTGGAGCTTTGAAAGCAAGCTATGAAGTTTTAATTGCTTTTGAGAAGTGAGAAATGCAGATAGGCAGAGCTGGTGTTTCACTTCCTCTAAATCTTACTGGAAATTTTTTAATTGAACCATTTATTAAAATAAATTGGAAGATTCCTCAATAGGAGTCAAAGGCAAGCAAGTTTACCTGTATACAAGATTTGGTATTTAAAACTGAATAAGATTTATAATAATCTTTGTTTATTCCTCATTAATATACTATGCCTTTTGCTGATTTTTATGACTAGCAGTTCTTCCCACATTCTTGGCGCTTACACCCTTTTTAAAAAGGGGAAACTTTTTTCTGCTTCTCTTTTGGTGACAGTAACTCATGATCATCTGTCATGTGATTCATTACTAGTTTCTCAAGAATTTCTAGGTTTAAAACTTACAGGAGGGATGCAGGCCCAAACAGGTGTTTGTGGTGAGAAGGAGACTTTCCAAGAGGAACAAAGTATTAAAAAACAAAATAAAAGGAATCTGCTTTTATT